CTCTCTCTCTCTCTCTCTCTCTCTCTCTCTCTCTCTCTCTCTCTCTCTCTCTCTCTCTCTCTCTCTCTCTCTCTCTCTGTATGTATATATATATATATATATATATATATATATATATATATATATATATATATATATATATATATATATATATATGTATATATATATATATATATATATATATATATATATATATATATATATATATATATATATATATGTTTACATACATACGTACATACATACATACATACATATATACATACATACATACATGCATGCATGCATGCATGCATGCATACATACATACATACATATAGATATAGATATATCTACATATATATACATATAGATAAATGAATAAATAAATACACACACACATACACACACACACACACACGCATCTACTGCACACAATAAGATATATGAATGTATTTCCTTTTTTAACATTTGATATATGCTCATTTGATATATGATATCTACCGTGTCAGCTCGAGTATGTCAAAAAGTTCGTTGTATTTTCTTTTGTCTATTCTGAATATCTTTGTTGTTATTGTTGTTCTCTTTCATTTCTTTTCTTTTATTACTAGGAACATGTCCAATCCAAAATACGTATCAATGTCACTACGCCTAAAACATTTTAATTAAACGTGCTATGGTTATGGAGTTGATCCAGATTTTGATAATTTTAAGCTTCAGAAGTAGTGTAATTCGGCAGCAAAAATGCAAGCTTTAATTTCGCAAAAAAAAAGTCACTAAGCGCAAAATATATATATATATATATTTTTAAAGGCATAAGCTATCATTTCAAATCTCTGTTATTTGTACTTGTATTTACATATTCATAAGTTTCTTTTTACACTGGGTGATAGATTCAACATATTGATATATGTTTATAACAAATATCATCTTGAAGCCTCAAATGATTTCTTAGATACATCTATACTCAGTAAGAAAAATGAATGAATGAATAAATAAGTAAATCAATAGACAAGGAGATAAATGGAGAAATTATTAGATAATTAGATGAATAAGTAAATAAATACACAAACAAAATAAAGAAAAATAAAAAAAGCTAAACAAAAAATAAATATAAAACACACTGTAGCTCGATCGGGACTGTGAAAACGAGGTGCGTGAGTGAAAAATAGGTCCAGCTGTATATAAAACGTAAAGCTTTTGAACTCCTCCGGAAATGACTGTTGACACTACACCTAAATTCCCAAAAGGAATTCCTGGAGCAGAAGATTAACTGCGGGGTCTGGCGGCCTTGAGGTTTTCACACAATGGCTCTCCAGTTAAGTCCCGGCTGGAATTTTCGTAATGTGGAAAATGGAAGTTTCGCTCGCCGGATAGATCGGCAGAGAGATATAGAATATAGAAATGTGTGAGTGTATATATATATATATATATATATATATATATATATATATATATATATATATATATATATAAAGATTTCTTTTGTTTTGTTTTTCTTTTATTCTTTTCTTTTTTTCTTTTCGTTTTTCTGCGGTAGGCCTTATGGTCGCCAGAGCATTTTGTTTATGAAGTGTTGGAGATTTTGAGTTTCCACGGGCATTTCCTTCCTCTTTCGTTCAGCTGTTCGTCTTTCTAATTGTTTCCCCATTTCCAGTCTCTAGTGCACGCCCTCATCCGCGAGCTGTGGCCGGGCTGTGTGGGCTCGGCCATGCTGCTGTGGGCGCGCGTGAGCCTGGCGCCCCACACGCCCTCCTTCACGCCCGCGGACAACCCGGCCGCCCACGCGCCGTCGCTGCTGACGCGCACGCTGAGCATCGCGCGCGGGTGGGCGGTGCACGGGCGCCTGCTGGTGTGGCCGGCGACGCTGTCGTTCGACTGGTCCATGGGCGCCGTGCCGCTCGTGACCTCGCTGGGCGACGCCGCCAACTTGGAAACGGCGGCGCTTCTGGCGGTGGTGGCGGCGGGGGCCGCCTCTGCCGCCGCCGCCTGCTGGAGGGCGCGCAGCCGCGTCGCTTACTTCACCAAACTGTACACATATCACAGCCACCACGCCTATCACGACGTGCTCAACAACAACGTGCAGCACGGGGACGTCGACGGCACCCTCCCCGCCGCCCCCGCCGCCCCCTGCTGCGCCGCCAGCCACTCCGCCGCCTGGTGGCACTCCAACCCGCTCCTGCTGGTGCTCGCGTGGGCGCTGCTCGTCGTGCCCTTCCTCCCCGCCTCCAACCTCGCCGCCTACGTGGGCTTCGTCGTGGCAGAGCGAGTCCTCTACCTGCCGTCGATGGGCGCGTGCCTGCTGGTGGCGCTCGGGTGCCAGAGCCTGTGGCACCGCCTCGGCTCCTGCAAGAGCCATCGCACAGGTGAGGACCGGCAGGGAGAAGCTCGATCTTTCTGGGCCTCTCAAGCTCCCTTGTTTTACTGCCAATAATGTTCTTATCAATTAAACCAATATCCCCCCAGCGCCGCCATTACCACCACCAGAACCCCCTCCCCCCCTATTAACAATAACACCAAC